TCAATCATTATTGTCCTTGTTTTTCCAGTTTGTATTGAACTTGCCAAGTTGGCCAACGCGTCGGCATGGCTGTTATCATCTCGGCTAACTTGAAGAAGTCGGCAGTTGCGAAACAAGGCTGCCAGCCTGATGACTTCCTTTGCGTATGCCGACATTCTCTCATCTCGGGTTGCAAACTCTCCTGTTGTCTGATTCACTATAAGTTGTGAATCACAAAAAATTATTATCTCATCTGCTTCTGCTGCCACTACCAGCTTTAGTCCTGCAATCAATGCTTCATATTCTGCCTCATTGTTCGAGGCCTTGAACCCTAATTGAATGGGCTGTTCCAATATCTCCCCATCAGGAGATATTAACACTACTTCAGTCCCCGCTCCTTGCCGGTTTGAGCTCCCATCAACAAACAGGCGAAAGGAGTCGCCGATGTAAATGCTACAGGGTCTGAGTTTTTCCTTTCTTTGTTCTTCTACTTTTGGCTGGGCTTCTCCTTGTTTGCTTGGACATCGTTCATCTTGGCTCAACGGAGCCCGATGTTCGATGGATTCTGGCGTGAATTCGGCCACGAAGTCAGCCAAAACTTGGCCCTTAATTGCTGTTCTCGGCCTGAACTCCAGGTCGTACTGGCCCAAGGACACTGCCCATCTTGCTATTCTTCCAGTTAAGTCTCCTTGTTGTAACAAGAACTTCAGTGGGTGCTCTGTTAGCACTATAATCTTGTGCGCTTGAAAGTAATGGTCCAGTTTCTTTGAAGCCATTACTAAGGCCAGCATTAATTTCTCTATTGGTAGGTACCTTGTTTCTGCATCGGCCAAGGTTTTGTTTACATAATAAACAGCCTTTCGCTCCCCTTTTTCCTCTCGGATTAGCACTGCACTTACTGCGTGTTCTGAAACTACTAAATATAAAAACAATTCTTCCCTAAGTTCAGGTGTTGAGAGGACTGGAGCCGTGGTCAGATATTTCTTTAGGTCGGCCAAAGCGGCCTCACATTCCTCAGTCCATAGGAAGTCCGTGGCCTTCTTCACCAGGTTGAAGAAAGGTTTACATTTGTCTGAGCTTCGGCTTATGAACCTGCTTAGGGCCGCGGCCCTTCCAGTAAGCATCTGAACCTGTTTTGCCGACGTCGGGCTTTTCAGCTCTAGGATGGCCTTAATTTGATCTGGGCTGGCCTCAATGCCCTTTCTTGTTACCAGGTACCCCAAAAACTTACCTGATCCAACTTTTAACGTGCACTTCGATGCGTTGAGTATATCAAAGACCTCTTTTAGGTCGGCAAGATGGCCCTTAGGTTCCTTGATCTTCACGACCATGTCATCGAAGTAGACCTCTACTGTTTGGCCAATCAGGTGTTTAAACATCTTGGTTACCAACCTTTGGTAAGTTGCTCCTGCATTTTTCAACCCAAAAGGCATTACCTTGTAACAGTACAACTCTTTCGGGGTGATAAACGTTGTCTTCTCCTCATCTGGAGGGTACATGGCTATCTGGTGGTATCCCCTATAAGCATCCAGGAAGCTCATCTTTCCATGTCCAGATGTGGCGTCTACCAACTGGTCAATCTTGGGTAGAGGAAAGCTGTCTTTGGGACAAGCTTTGTTCAGGCTTGTAAAATCTACGCAAACCCTCCATTTACCATTCTTTTTCTTTACTACCACAGTGTTTGATAGCCATGTCGGATAATTGACTTATTTGATGGCCCTGGCCTCCAGAAGTCTGTTTACTTCCTCCTCCACTGCTTCGACGTACATCAACGTCGGTCTTCTGGCTCGTTGTATTACGGGTTTGGCTGTCCTGTCAATGTTCAATTTGTGGCATGTGACCTCGGGGTCAATACCAGGCATTTCATAAGGTGTCCAAGCGAACACCTCTATGTTTGCTCTCAGAAAAGTTTCTAGTTCTCTTTCTTCTTCTTCGGCTAAGCCCGAGTCGACAAGAAAGAAGCGTTCTTCATCATCCTCCTGGTCGAGGACTTTCTTCAGTGCTTCTTCACTCTTTTTGGCTGGCTCCTTGCCGACATCCTCTAGGACCTTCATGTCCTCGTCTTCAATCTCTGCCTTCTCCGGTTCTCGAATGTTGCAGGTGGATTTCATTGCTGCCATGGAGCAATTCTTTACCTGCAGTTGATCTCCTCTAACTTCTTTAATCCCATGCTCTGTTGGGAATCGTAGTAGCTGATGCAACGTTGAGGGAACTGCCCCCAGTGCATGCAACCATGGCCTTCCCAAGATGATGTTGTATGGCGAGGGCGTGTCAATCACCATGAATTCTATCTTGATCTTCTTAGTGTCGGCTTGTACTTCCAAGCTTGTTGCGCCCAATGGCCACGTCGGCGTTCCATTGAAGCCGACCATCGGGCCATTGGATTGCTCCAAGTCATCAAGATGAAGGCCCAACTCCTTATAACATCTAACATACATGATGTCGCAAGAGCTGCCTTGATCAATCAGGATTCGTTTCACTTGGTACTCTCGAACCTGGAGGGATACTGCCAAGGCATCATTATGTGGATGCTAGACCATCTCTAGGTCAGCTTCAGTAAAGGCTATCGTCGGTCCCGGGCATTCTTCAGGCCGCGGTCTTTTATGTCCGACCTGGTTCACGTGCTGTAGGTGTTTTACCTTCTGGGTCTCCCCTCGTATATTGTTTTCGTTCACCTTTGAGTGAATTACATTAACCACCCGTGGTCCTCCTGCCTGTGGTTGCTATGCTAGGGGAGGCGGAGCTGCTGGTACTTGAGGCAATCTTGCCTGTTCTTCCCTTGTCCTGGCCTCATCGACAAAGTCTCTCAGATGGCCTTGCCTCACCAAGTCTTCTAAGTGTGCTTTTAGGGCTCTGCAACCCTGAGTTGGGTGCCCTTCTTCATTATGGTAAGCACAACGCCTATCGACGTTTCTTCTCATAAATTCCCCTGGTACTCTTGTTAGTGCTTTGAAATAGGGTTGGTTTCGTATTTGATCCAGGACTTTGTGGACCGGGATTCGGAACACAGTCGTCACTGCCTGTTTAGCCCTCAATTCCGTTTCTTGTTTGAACGATCCATTGTTACCTCGACTTCGCTTCGGCGAGCCATTTCCTTTCTCTTGCTTTGTCTCTTTGTTTCCCTACGTATCCTCCTCGGCTCTGGCATACTTCTCAATTCTCGCCATGAGTTCTTCTATGCTTTTTGGCAATGTCTTTGCCAAAGACTTCCATAGTGGGCAGTCATCTTTCAGGCCATTCTTGAAAGACACAACCGCCACCTCTTGGTTGCATTCGGGTATTCGATTGAACACCTCGTAGTACCTTTTTGCGTAGGCCCTAAGGCCTTCATCCTTGGTGATTTTTAAAGCCATCAGTGAGTCGACCCTCAAGGGCTGTAGTTTGTTCGTCACAAACCTGGCAACAAACATCTCGGCCAGGCCTTCCCAAGTCTTTACGCTTCCCTTCGGTAGTTTATGAAACCAATCTGATGCAATCTCCCCGAAGGATGAGGGGAATAATTTGCAAAGCAACGGCTCGTTCCCACTATATAATGCCATTAAATTCAGGTATAGTCCAACGTGAAAGTTGGGATCGGACTTACCATCATATATTTGGAACCTCGGCATACTTAATCTCTTTGGTGCTTCAAATTTGTCCAGTTCCACCGAGAATGGTGTCCTCGGCTTAACCGGGGAAGTTACCCCGGCTTCAGCATTCTGTTGCTTCCTCTTGAGGTAATCTCTCAAGTCTTCTTTACTCCTCCCTGGAGCTCGGCTATCTTTGGACTTCAATCTTTTCGGCACACTACTTTCGGCCTCGTGGTGGGCCCGTTTTGATCTTTCTCCATGGGTTGTGTCAAAGCAGAGCACCTGCCCTTAAACATGCCGATGTTCTTTGGGCTCTGGGTCCTTCGTGTGATACGTCCTTCGGGACTCCTCTCGTCCGACTTCCTTGGAAGGTCGGTGAGAGTGCCTTCCGCTCCTAGTGTGCTGAGGGGCTTCGGGGATTGTTTTCCTTCCTCCCTTTTGGGTAATAGTTGCTAGAATCGGCGTGTCCTGCAGTGAGTACGGTGGCTGCATGACATTGTTTTGCATCATGAAGTTGACGACCGACTGCAGGTCTGCCAACTTGTTTGCCAATTCTTTTACTTCTTCATCCCTCCGCAAGCACCTATCCCTCCATACCTGGAGGTTATCTTCATTATAGTACTTGCTTTGGTCTATTTTCTTCGAAGTGTCGCCCTCCTGGCCGATGTCTTTCTTTCCGTGGCCCTGGTCACGAGTTTCTGCATTGTGGTTGTCTCCTTAAATATCAAGGTCGATAGGTCTGCCACTCCCAGCAGGAGTGTCGTCCCCAATCTTTTCCTTCTGGCCGTTACTGGCCATCTATTCTTCTAATTTCCCACAGACTGTGCCAAATTGTGTGAGTGATTTTCTGATCACACTGCCCGTTTAGTAATTAACTAGAGAGCACCGGCAAAATAGATGGCTTCAGCTAACCTGTAATAGAAAGAGAAGGCTTCGGCGGTGGTTCTTCCACCCGGGGGCACTCCGAAGATCAAGTCAGTATATCTCTCAAAGATAATCAAGTGCTAAACTCACTGCTTAAAACATAAATTGCGTACCTTAGACCCATGGGGGTGCCTCTTTTTTTATAGTTAACTCAATCCTAGTCCCACTAGAAGCCTGACTTCTAGGGACTCCAATTCTGGACTTACCTTGGACTCTTCAAGAGATAAAGATAAACTCCCTAAGAGGCTTTATCCTCATCTTGACTAAGTCTCCTCTTCATTCTTGGACTCTTGTCCCCTATCCGCTTATCTTGGATTCCGCTATCTTCGGAGGAAACCTCGGCCTAACCAAGATTACCTCGGCACAACGACCAGGACACGTGGTACCTCGGCTGACACGTCGGCGTTACCTTGCCACGTGTTAGTACTCATAAAATATATCCCCACAACAATCTTAGTAATAATTCCCATATACTTTCAATATTTGATTGTAAATGCAAAAAGAAATGTTGCTCTAGACTGTTTTAATTCTAGTTTTTGTATTAGAAAATTTATAAATTACATGAGTTACCCACAATAATTTCTAAAATAAATTTCCTACCCTGCTATTAAAAAAAGAATAGGAAATTAGAAAGAAGGAAAGAAAGTCTAGATTCATGGCAACACATACATTTATAATTTTTCCAAAGCTTTTCCAAACACAGCACATAAAAATGATAAGGTTCATTGAAAAGGAAAAGGAAGAAAAATTAAATTACTAACAAAGAGAGAACCAAGGCCTGCAATAACAAAATGTTGCGACAACAAGGCCTGCAATAATAAATTATACCGATTTTCAGTAATATAAGACATTGAATCGCAGATATGATTCAATTTGCTCAACTTTTGAATGATTAGCAGCCAAAGAACAAACCTATGAGAGCTGCAGCAACCACATTCTTCTAATGGTGCCAATAGTACGAAAGTTCAAAGAAACACTCCTCTTTTTTCTGACCCGACGCATTAAGCAATAATAATCTGTTGATTTGTTTTCTATATTATTAGAGAGATCGAAGAAATAAAAGGAAGACAAGAAAAAAAAAAGCAGGAGTAAAAAAATTGTAGAGAGAAAATATTGAGGAAGAAAAAGAAGAAAAAGAAACACCTAAAGGGCAATCTTAAATAGAAATTGGGGAGTTATATGTAGTTTTCTATCTCAAGTGTTACAAATTTGTGTTCTTCAATTTAGTTTTGTCAGCAAAAATGGATTGAGCAAACATATATGTTTTCATTACTTTTTCCCTGTTGAACAATCTTCTGTGTAAAAAATAAATTGAAACCAAATCAAACAAATAAAATAAATAACTTACTGAATTTATTTTACTAAACCGAATGAATAATAAAAAGATCAAGTTGAGTGTGTGACACTCTGTCCTTAAGACAGATTCGCCCCGCTACAGTGCTTACGGACAAATGGCGTCTATCTCCTAGGATACAATGATCTTCACAAATTGTAGTAGCACTCCAAATAATTTGTTCGGCGAACAAAAACATGTATTCTTACTCTCTGAATTTTTCTCTAAAATAATATGAAGATTATATCATGCAAGAGAGCAAAACTAGAAGGAAAATCAAGAATTTTGGATCTACAAAGATTGCTAAAATGGCAGGTATTTATAGGTAAATTGTGGCTATCTAGAAAATCCGAACAAGTATGAATCTGCCCAACAGATACAGATTATAATTTTGAACAGATACGCTAATTGCTGCAGTTAGAAAATTGCCCAAAACTGCTGGCAATTTTCCTAATCTGTTTGAACATTTGAACCTGTTAAACCTCAGGTTAAAACTGTTCAAATCTGCCTGGGCAGATTTAAATCTATTCTGAGCAAAAAATGTTGTCACCTAGAACTTATATACATACACACATAAGTTCTCTTTAAGTTTCAATGTGGGACAACCCATTTCAAGAAAATCCATATTTACTTCTTTAATTGTCCATTCCACGAACCCGAAAACGACATCAACTTCCCATTCACTCATAAATGGTTTTGACGAACCGTCTTCACCGTATGACTTGCCATGCGGCAAGGAACACGTCACCTCTTCGAACCCACCCCAAAAGACGTGTGGACCCCACTCAATTTTGATGCCCTTCCATTGCATAGAATGTGCACTTTCCTATACACTTCTGTTACATGCGTGAAGCGCATCGTTATGATTCATGCATAGAATATGCTTGCTTTCGATTCTGCATAGAATATGCTTTCAATATTGCATAGAATATGCTCCTGTTTCTTGCATAGAAAATGCTCATATCTTTTGCATAGAAAATGCACTCTTCCATACTTGCATAGAAAATGCACCTCATTTGCATAGAACATGCATTCACTCGCACTATCTTGTGCACTTACACTTTGTATCTCACTAGCACTGTCTTGTGCATCTTGTGGTTGTATCTCAATCTCACTGTCTAGTGCATTTCAAAATCAATCGCGCTGTTTAGCATATCACACTATTTAGTGCATTTCAAATCACTCGCGCTGTTTAGCACATCGCACTGTTTAGTTCATTTCAAATCACTCGTGCTGTTTAGCGTATCGCACTGTTTAGCGCGATTGAAATGAAATGCACTAAACAGTGCGATACGCTAAACAACGCGATTGATTTGAAATGCACAAGATAGTGCGAATGATAAACTGCACAAAACAGTGCGATGCCCAAAATGGCGCGAGTGATTTTGAAATGCACTAGACAGTGCGATACGCTAAACAGCGCGAGTGATTAAACTGCACAAAATAGTGCGATGCGCAA